TATGCTAATTTTATATACTCAAATGCGATTTTTGCAGTATACTCCACTACTTTACTAAACCATACACCACTACTATTCGTAATACCGAAAATTGCACACTACGTATACACTTCTTTTATTCCATTCCTGATATAAAATATTATAGTAATTCATCCACACACGTGGATAATGAAAAAAAAATACCGAAATTATAATTTCAAAGAATAAACTAATCAAAAGTATCTTACCGATTATTGGTTTTAGAAATTTCTTTTTTGGTTTTTTTTTTTTTTAAATTGACATTCTCAACGAATAAGTGAAATTTTTCAAAAAAAAGCGTACCTTTGTAGGCCTTATCTAGAACTATAAAGTTACTTTTTTCTAAATATTCATTGAGGAGACACTATTTTTGTGTCTTTAGATGATTGCACCATAAATAGATAATTTATGATTTGGTATTTAAACTACATTAAACTTAAATTTTTATAATTCATATTTTAGTATATTATAAATATCATAAATATTGCAATGCATCTATACTACAGGAGACTTGAATTTCATTAGTATTTGACTATTTAACACTTTCGAATTCAGTACATTTTCGGCTTTCGACTTTTGGTTTACACTTTCAGCATGATAGATTATCAACATACTGTACAGATAAAGAAATGCAATATAAAAGGGGTATAAACTATAAATGGAAATGAAGGAATATTATCAATAGCCTAATAAGTAATAAATAATACTATATAGCATTATATGAATAGCTACCTATAATGATAATTTGCATAACATTCAGAATAGACAAAATTAAGTTACTATGATGCAGTACGTAAAGAAACTCTTACAGCATGGCCGTATTGTTATGTTATATGTAGTTATATTTGGTGTGTAATTGTGTTCTGTAACTTAATTTTATATGCGCAATACATGCCTCTATCATGTGATATAGAGCTATAGAGCTATTATATAATTGGCCAATTAGAACTAAAGCCTACTATTGCTAATTATAATATATATATCTATAGGGGCATAGAAGGGCATGCCTTTCACAAAGACATGCCCCCAGGAGCATGCCCCAAAAATTTGCCGTGCCTCCAACCCTACATGAGAGTGAAAACCTGGAAACACATTTAATTATTAATTATGATTGGTTACAGGGTTTCACTCTTATGTACTCGTATATTGTTTGCATTATTTTTAGGAGGGAGAACCCATTTCATGAAATAAATTTTAAATTTATATTGTACATAAAAGTAAACAATGGTTTAAATTTGACTTTAAGCGCATTTTTAATATATGTGTTGCCGTAACCGTAACTATAACTTGTCGTATCTCAAAAAATTAATTGGAGATGATTATATATTGCAAATATGTACCCTGTTCATTTTTAAAATATAGTCTCTATGTCTATGCACATTTATGTCAATAGAAACTTTATCAAAATTAGAAATAACACAATAGACAATAATTTAAGGAAATTGTTGGGATTAATCGCATTAAGGGTTGGTTGCAATAATGCGCGGTTACTCTTCTAATTCAGAATATTTTGTGATTCAAAGCAAAATATAAAAAAGCCGAAATTCCTCAATGTTTAAGTCCCAAAAGTTTGTATGATATCTTATTGTGAGTATATTCCATTAATTACCAGTAATAATTTTATTTTGATTAATACAATATCATTTAATTTTTTTTTGTTTTTTTTTATCATGTTCGTTTAAAGTATCGAACTTTTTTATGAATATTATCAAGATGGTTAAATTAGAGTTTTTCTTGGTCTTTATTACTCTTTTGCTCTGTTCAAGCAGTTCTTTTGCCGGGACAATTCCATCAGATCATCGGTCTCAAGTTCCTACATCAATCGGAAATTATGGTAAATCATCTAAAATGATAATTATGCATTAACATACACTATTAATACGACTCTTTTACGACAAAATAAATAGTGTTTCCAACAGATGTTACCATTCCCGCAAACCTCACTGTACCAAAGGGAAATTGCTTTAAGTTCTCTTTACATGTTAGTGGATATATCTGGTATCAATGTACAAATAAGACTTGGGCATTTAGTATGTATCATATATATTTTGTAATTTGTCACGTTACGATTTATAATTTTTATACTTTATTTAATTATTAGGTGAAGGCCGTGTATTATTTTTTAATCATGAAGAAGATGCTTCTCAATACCCCGATTCAGCCGTAGCTTCAACATACAATCCAGGTTCTAGCGGTATGTAATAATTTAATTTTTGTGCTAATATAATTTAGATTGCTTAAATGCAACAAATTTTGATTATAACCTGTTGCACATTTCTGTCTTACACACAATGATTTTCGAGAAAATCATTGGCTTCGAAATAGTAATGGCAAGATACTGCTCAATATTCAAAAGTATTTTTCTTATTACTAAAGTAGCATATTTTAATTTTCTTGATTAGTTTTTGGTTCGGCTGGTATTAGGTCTATTATTCCAAAGTATGATTCATCATCATTAATTGCAACTACTACAATCAATTATCAACCACCTGACCCGAAGGATTTTCCTTGGGGACTTGAAGAGACTCATGTAATTACTAAGTTCTATCAGATATTTCTATTAGAAATTTCTATAATATATTAATATCAACAATTATCTTGTTCTAATGAATAGGATAACACAGGAGATGGTGCGTTTAAAGATATTACATATATTCTTCGTCTTAATACTAAAAACGGCATTCCTCCACCAAATTCACTATGTAAGTTAATAATTTTATATAGAGAATTATTTTTGTTTAGTTTACTAATTATATATTCTTATAATTAGGCGGTACCCAATACGAGGAGGGTTATATCTATAGTTCAATTATTTCTGCTCAAAATTTATTCTATCATCCTGGTCCTGATAAATAATTTAATCTTATTATGCAAAATTACTTTATAGAGTTTATATCATTAAATTTATTATAAGATTTAAATATAATATTAATAATAATAAAAAACTTTACCAATTTTTAAAAATATTTTTTATTGTATACGTACATAGTACATATTTATACATTAACTCTGATACAATACGTATTTAAAGTTTTAAATGATTTATTGCCTTTACAACAAGTCATGCGTTTGCCCATGCGCTGTGAGTTTTGTGTAACTAAAATGATATAAGGGATTATATATGTATCGGTATCGGTATCGGTAACAATTATATTTTACATTTTATATCGATATAGGGTTACACGTGATAATGTACAAAATGTGCGATAGTTAAGATCTAATGTATAAGACTATTTATTTAGCATCTGCGGGTGCATTCTTCTATTACTGATATGTTTGTTTTAATTGCGTTAAAGTCAAAGTTAATAATATTAATTGATTTCCATGTAGGAGCTCTACTAATTGCGACGTAGACTTGACCTTCTGCGAATATTTTTAGGTCTACGTTTATTGTTGTGTGAGGCAAGATTAGTTCTTGGATTTTGTGGATCGTTAAAGCAAATGCGTTTTGAATGGAAAATTGATATTTAGATTCTGGGTTTCCGTTGATGTTAAAATAGGTTATCTCTTTTTGTATGTTTAGTTTAACGATATCTGTAGTGATTGGAAACATCTATAGTCTGGTCGTTTATTATGTTCATGATTACACTGATTGTACTGTTGTAAATGTTTTGGTTGAATAATAATAATAATAATAAAGTGGTTGATAATGATCTGTTTGAAATTTAAAAATTCTGAGCTCACAAATTTCGAAAATACGTAAAGTAGTAGTTTACAAAATTTTTAAAATATAGGTAGAATCCAAATAAGCATACCATGTAATTTCGTACTCATTTATGGATGATAAATTGGATTAAGTTTTCTTTTATGCTTGATTAGACATTTGATCTTAGTGAATTTAAATAGTAGCAAAAACGTTTCACCTTGAGTTCTACATTAAAGTCTCAAATAGAGTAATTGCTCTAAGAATTTCCAATAAGTAATTGCTAGGCTAACAGGTAATCTAGAATAATAATCGAATTGACGCAACCCCAATTATACGAACCAAGTCTTTCATCTTTATCAATTATCAAGGTTTGTTTTAATAATTTCCGGTGCAGAAGGGAAAACTCAAGTCCAGACAATAGGTAAAGATATTGGATTCCGTATGGGTTAAAATAAGATAAAAAGTTATTTGCATATTCAAATATTCAAATAAATTGTATTAGTTATTTAGTGATGTAGCACTTAATTTATTGGTATATAACGTATTATATATTCAATAAATTCAGAAATTTAACAAGCCGCTTTGAAAATTAAGAACTAATTACTTGATCTATTATGCGAGAAAACAATACTTTACGTTACTAATTATGATATAACTACATCGTATTACTAATCATGATATAACTACATCGTATTAACCTAATTCATATTTCTAACTTGCCTTTAAATACTTATTTTACAGAAGTTATAGAGCATATAGATAAGTATATAATAATTATACATTTACACTAAAAAATTTTCACTGACACACTATAAATTAATAGATCTACTAAGCAACTTCGAATGTTCGTTTACTAATATGAAGCGGCCGTTTTCTTAATAGTATTGATTGTTAGTCTCGATTTGTATTAGTGCTGAATCATTTTACCCTTTTATAAAGTGCGTATATACGTACGTATATACTTATTTTACTGCACTTGATTAATCCTTTTGGGTTAAAGAAAGGTTTCAGAATTTAATTAAAAGAAATTTAATAACCGTTATATAATAAGTTTGCGCTTATCACGAATTTTGGTAACATTTATTTTTATAATTATTTTTATTTAAAAAAAACTTTAATTTAGATTTTTTATTATAAAAAAAAACTTTATTATTTTTATTTAATAAAAAAAAACTTTTTATTACATAATATATTTATTATAAAAAAAACTTTTCTATTACATAATATATTTAATTATAAAAAAAACTTTTTATTTCATAATATATTCTATTATAAAAACTATAAACTTTTAATTGTAAATAAATTTTTAAAGATAAATCTTGTACTGTCCGATTTTTAATCATAAATAAATTTTCGAAAATGAATCTTGTTTCGTCCGATTTTCTTAAATTGTAAATAAAGTTTCAACGATAAATCTTGTTTGTTCAATTTTTAATCATAAATAAATTTCGAAAATAAACCTTGTTTCGTTCAATTTTCTTTAATTGACATCAAATAATTAACGAACGAATATAAATAATCTACCCAGTATAAAAGAAAAAAAAATATGTACTTAAAGTAACTTAAATACCTCAGAATATAGCACATCAACAACCGCCAGTGTAGCGTAACCTAGAGAATCCTAGGACCGATATCTGAGGGCTTTTGTATAAACGGGTTTCAATTAACTTAACGAGCTTAATATTAATACTCATCTGTTAACCGAAAAATATAATAAGCAAAATAAAATTTAAAAGTGAAAACCGTTTAAAAGAAAGAGAAATATATATAAAGAGATATAAGTAGGAGATATAAAGAAAGAGCAAGAGAAAAGGCGGTTCTTTTATATCTTTTTTGCTAACACGTTCATTGTTTTGAGATCCTCAAAACACGTTTAATTTTGTAGTCAACTTCGCGTTTTGTGTTGATAGAAATCTGTTATCAAGCAAAATCAGTTACATCATGTAGGGGTGTTATTTTTTGTTTTCACAAATCGCGAAATCGCGTGTAACGCGAAAATTTCAAAGATCACATGTAACGCGTTTTTCAAAAATCATGTGTAATGCGAAGTTTTTCGAACAATCGCATATATTTCAAAAAAATTGAAATTAACTTTTGTGCTATAATAAAAAGTGTTCCTTACAGAATTTTAATACTTTAGAACATATTGCCACAGCAAGAACAATTTGATTGTTAAACACGAATTCTTTGATACAACGAGTATATAAAAACCCACGTGATCTAATATACTGTATTAATTATCCAAGAAACTGTTGGATTATCTTATTGGAAAAACGGTTTTTAGAAATCATGTATATTCCTGATACGTACATACCAGAAATTGATACGAATTAAATGAATACAAAAATTTATTTAAAAACCAAAATGTCTTTCTGATTAAGAATCTTTGAAGCATATAGATTAACTCTTGCCTCATATTGATATCTAACTAAATTCACACTACTTTATCAATTACAACTATTTGTGTGTATAAATGAATTATAATCACACATGTCTATAAACTAATCTTTATATTTCCAAGAAAAAGTCTATTAATAAAAAATATATATGTATAAAAGAAAAATTCTATACCACGTTCAAACTTTATTTAAATAATTCCTATAGAAAATACTACGCCATCTCCATAGCTGCAACAGTTCCATAATCATCATCTGATTTTGATTATGATAATGCTTACGAAATTCATCAATCTAAAATACTGATGATGTTATAACTATAAGTCCAAAAATATCATTAAGTCCTAATGCTTCGGTTTAAAAAAACAGCTTGGAAAAATGGTAAATAAATTACTAATAATCGTCCAACAAGTGAAAATGCTACTGCTAAATTAAGCATTGGATTTGAAAATATTCCTAATTTAAAAATGATTTCTTTTCTGAACGACAACTTAAAGCATTAAACATATCAAAAAATACAAAGCATGTAAATGTTTAGACAAAATCAATTAACATGTTAATAAATGAAAATAAACCTCAATGCTATAAATACAAAATATAAAACTTGAATAGCTTACCATCACTGTGTCCCTTGCTTCAGTAATATAGGTAAACTAGGAAAACGGTTCTGGAGCGCCTAGTGTAAATGTATAACGATTATAGACTTATCTATATGCTCGATAAAAATGTAAAAGTTATTAACTTCTGTAAAATAAGTATTTAAAGGCAAGTTAGCAACGTGAATTAGGTTAATACGATGTAGTTATATCATGATTAGTAACGTAAATGTTTTTTCGCATAATAGATTACAAAAATTTAAGTAATTAGTTTTCCTTATATCTTAATTTTCAAAGCGGCTATAAGAAAATAAATTAAACAATCTTTATTTTTAAAAGTTACATTTAATTATAAAGATTCTTAAAAATTTATATGACCAGATTATGAGAACAAATTAATTAAAAGATGCGACACACGCTGAATTCATTCATCCAATTTATTGCATAAAATTATATTGACATAAATCGTATATCAAATGTGTTGCCAAATTTATTAATTATAGCAATTTATAAGTTACATTAAAGTTATATACAAGTTTAAAAAAAAAACTATTTCAACGGCTTAAAAAAATCTTAACTTCACAATTAGTAAAGTTAAAGTTTAGACCATTAATGTGAAACCTCTGAGCGTTATTATTTTGAGTTGCTTGCGGAATAAATAAAGGAGTAAATGGAATTTTGATCGATTTCGGACGATTGAATTGATTTTGATTGTTTTTGTATTATTATCTATTTCGTTATTTTCATAGTTAACTTCATTTTTACAGTTACCATTACTATCATAATCATCATGTTCATTACTTCCATTATATTTGTAAACATAAAATTTCATAAATTAATATAGTATACGTAGTAAATGTAAAATAATATATAATATTATACAAACCTTTTATATACCAGGTGGTACTATAAATTTTGCAACGTTAACTCGTTGCTGCTCATTTTGCGACCTATAAATATTGTATGCCTTTCCTGTGCAATGTTTGGTGATGCCTAAATATCTACACCGGTGTCATTCAATTTTTGAGCTGTATGTTTGCGAAGAGAATGGTTTACAATCCTCCTACTAGCACAATTAATACCTGTAATGAAACAACTTTCCTTCATAAAACTGGATAACTTATCACGGTTTAAAATCAGAAGCTTTTATAAAATTAGTGCAAATTATAAAAAAAACTTGTCGGTGAAAAGAGCTTCGGTGAAATAACCTGTCTGTGAAATAAACTTGTCAATTTAATATCATTTCATATAAGTTTAATACGTATGAGCTAATGATGGATTTTTTCATGTGAGAGGTTAGGGTATTAGTAAATAATTACTTGTGTGATTATATATACAATATAGCAATTACTTAATAAAAAAGACATTCTGGTTTCTAAATAAATTTTGTATTCATTTAATTCATATCAGTTTCTGATACGTATGTTACATGATTTCTAAAAACCGTTTTTCAAATAAGATAATCCAACGGTTTCTCAAATAATTAATATATTGGATCACATGGGTTTTTATATACTCGTTGTATCAAAGAATTCGTGTTTAACAATCAAATTGTTCTTGCTGTGGCAATATGTTCCAAGGTAGTAAAATTCTGTAAGGAACACTTTTTATTATAGCATAAAAGTTAATTTCAATTTTTTTGAAATATATGTGATTGTTCGAAAAACTTCGCATTACACATGAATTTTGAAAAACGCGTTACACGTGATCTTTGAAATTTTCGCGTTACACGCGATTTCGTGATTTGTGAAAACAAAAAATAACACCCCTACATGATGTCACTGATTTTGCTTGATAACAGATTTCTATCAACACAAAACGCGAAGTTGACTACAAAACTAAACGTGTTTTGAGGATCTCAAAACAATGAACATGTTAGTAAAAAAAAGATATATAAGAACTGCCTTTTCTCTTGCTTTTTCTTTATATCTTCTACTTATATCTTTTTATATATATTTCTTTTTCTTTTAAACGGTTTTTACTTTTAATTCTCGGTTAACAGATGAGTATTAATGTTAAGCTCGTTAAGTCAATTGAAACCCGTTTATACAAAAAAACCCTCAGATATCGCTCCTAGGCTTCTAGGTTACACTACTACTGGTGGTTGTTGACGTGCTATATTCTGAGGTATTTAGGTCACTTCAAGTACTTATCTCTTTCTTTCTTTCATACTGGATAGATTATTTATATTCGTTCGTCGATTATTTGGTGTCGATTAAAGAAAATCGGACGAAACAAAATTATTTTCAAAATTTTATTTACGATTAAAAATCGGACAAAACAAGATTTATTTTTAAAATTTTATTTACAATTAAAAGTTTATGGTTTTTATAATAGAATATATTATGAAATAAAAAGTTTTTTTAAAAATTAAATATATTATGTAATAGAAAAGTTTTTTTTATAATAAATATATTATGTAATAAAAAGTTTTTTTTTATAATAAAAAATCTATATAAAAGTTTTTTATTAAATGAAAATAATTATTTAAGTTCGATAATTTTTAATTAAAGTATGTAGTTTTCTTTGTAATTGTTTTGAGTTAATTGTAATTGATAGTATAAATTTTTATAAAGATGAACGTTACCAAATTCGTAATGAGCGCAAACTTTTTATATAACGGTTATTAAATCTCTTTCAATTAAATTCTGAAATGTTTTTTTAACTCAAAAGGATTAATTAAATGCAGTAAAATAAGTGTATACACGCACTTTATGAAAGAGTAAAATGATCCAGCATTAATACAAATCAAGACTAACAATCAATACCACTAGGAAAACGGTCGCTTCATATTAGTAAACGAACTTTCAAAGTTGCTTAGTAGATCTATTAATTTATAGTGTTAGTGAAAATTTTTTAGTGTAAATGTATAACTATTATATACTTATCTATATGCTCTATAACTTCTGTAAAATAAGTATTTAAAGGCAAGTTAGAAATATGAATTAGGTTAATACGATGTAATTATATCATGATTAGTAATATGATGTAGTTATATCGTGATTAGTAACGTAAAGTATTGTTCTCTCGCATAATAGATCAAGTAATCAGTTCTTAATTTTCAAAGCAAATAACTTTTTATCTTATTTTAACCCATACGGAACCCAATATCTCTACCTATTGTCTGGACTTGAGTTCCTCCGCTCTGCTCCGGAAATAAGGTACCAGCAACGATAATCGCAGAGCAAGTACACACATGATCAGTGCTGGTGTAAGTATTGGCGCATTTTTTTTCGTGGAGGTTGCCTCATTGCATTTTTCATCTACTGGTTCGACGTCCATTAATATGTCTTAACTGTTAACATTTTAACGCTAACGTCAAACATTGTTTAAATCTATTTAGAAATGATCAATAGTAAAATTTTGTGAAGTCGCGATGAAAAGACATCGGAATGGAATTATTGTAGATTTGGAATGCATCTAAGTTGATTTCCAAGTAAACATAGAATTCTAAAACGTGTTCGAGTCGTTAAAAAATTCCAATTTAACTTATACTAAAATTAAGTGTATTTCAAATTAATCAAGCACTTTGCTTTGGAATTTAAATCGCTTTAAAATAAGTAAATAAGTTAATTCAATAGTTTTATTCAATAGTTAAATTTAAAAGCATTATATGAAGCTTTTGCACCTATTATTAGTGAGTTACTGGATATTTTCACTTAAAGTTTGAAAAAAAATATTTTTGTCATTAAAGATCGATTTTAGATATTATCGCCTAAAGTTTAAACCCTTCCGCGGTCTTTATTTGATCGAATAATGTTTTTTGAATAAATATATTTTAACAACCTATTACATATAACATAATATTAGTTAATAATAGTTAGGGGTTATATGTACATATAAATTCTTAGTATATTTTTATTGGTTATACTAAGTAAGTTATAAGATTTTATAGATCAACGATAATATAATACGTGGTAGAAAACATGTAAAATTCAAACTGCAATAAGTTTTGAACCAGCAAACCTACATAAATAAAATTTATTTGTCAGGTTCATTTTAGCATGTTCTTTAAAGTAACAATGCCATTTTTTTTATTTAGTTTTATTGTTTGGGGTGGATGACTCAATTTTAGAGCAAAATAATCGATTTTGATGCATTTTTAATAAAAATATCAAAACCGTCAAAAATTCAAAGTTATGTCTTTAATATTTTTATTAAAAATATATCAAAAACGATCATTTTGCACAGAAATTGAGTCCTCCACTACGAACAATAAAAAATAAACATGAAAACTAGTACTCCGCAAAATCAATTCAAGGTTTGAATTTGAATCAAATATTTGAAAATATTTAGTTCAAATTCAAATTTTTAAATTGATTTTGTGGAGTACTACTGAAAACTATAATTTTATTTGTGTAAGTTTGCTGGTTTAAGAGTTATTGCAATTTGAATTTTGTTTTCACTATTACACTTACAAAAAATCTTAATTGGGGATCATCTGCACTATCGCTATGTTTGTAATTAGACTGATATCGATATAGAACACCCCAATAAAGCATGTTATAATTAGATTCATCTTTTTTTTTTCTTTTTTTGAACTTTGAACAAGGATATCTCAAAAACTATTTACTCTCAAAACGATGAAATTTTTATTTTATTTCTATTAATCTATATAATCCAGTTAAAATAAAAAATTTCTGTTAACTTTAAATAGGAAGTTATCATGATCATTTAAAGTTTGGAAAGAACTTAACTGCAGTCTTCGTTGAACGAGGATATCTTGATAATATCTACCTAAAATCAATGAAATTTTTTTATTTCATTTCTATGATTCATAAGTAAAATTTTAGGCAATTATCAAAATAGCAGTTGTCTTTAAATTTTGAGTAATGATATCTCGATAACTACATATCTAAAAGTCGATGAAAGAGTTTTTTTTCATTTCAATTATAAGGATTCTTAGAATTAAAATTAAAATTGTCAATCAATCAACTTTAGATATTTAAATAATTTTTCGTTTAAAGTTCATTACTGAGGATCGTCAATTACGTCCAATCAGAATGTGATAGTTCGAGTAGAATCTCATTTTAACGACAAGTTGCCTTGATGATAATTTTGTTCGTAAGTTACTGCAAGTTAAAAATAGCAAATTACCACCAAGTTTGTTGCTTTAATGCTAGCAGAAATTAATTAAATTTTATTGTGACTTACCATAGTATATGTAGTAATTTAACCCCCATAACCAGTCACTTTTTCGGGGGTATGTCCAAGAATTCTGTGCCCTCACCCCGTTCCACTAAAATTTTTTCGCGTATCAGTATAGGATGTCCTTTTGATCTTGATATTTAATTTGTTCGCGTTTGAATAATAAATACTTTTGACTACAGAATTCTAAAAATTCTAAAATGAAGTGAGTGTCATTTTTAAAGTTTCTATTATTACAGCCTACACGAATCATATTGATGTTTATATGATTTAGGTTTAAGATAAACGACTTGCCGATTTACTTTCCTTATGACAAAATATACCCAGAACAATACTCTTATATGGTAGATTTGAAGAAAGCAATTGATGCTGGAGTACGTATTTATTCCTGAGTTAACGAGTTAACCCGTGCAGTGTAGTACGTTCGGTTACCTTTTTTTTTTTTTTGGTTCCTTGGATAATAGGGTCACTGTTTACTTGAAATGCCCTCTGGAACTGGGAAAACTGTATCATTACTATCTTTGATCGTGGCGATTCAAATGGTAATATATCGATTTATTTGTTTTATATAATGATAAAACAAGTAACCTAGTGTCTTTTTAATATTAGACTTATAAAGAAAAGCGTAAGTTAATTTATTGTTCACGAACTGTTCCGGAAATTGAGAAAGCCTTAGCAGAACTTCGTAACCTTATTGAATATCGAAAACGATGTGGAGAAAAGGACGAATACTTAGGGCTTGGCCTAACATCTCGTAAAAACCTTTGTATAAATCCTTCGGTAATACCATGTGCTTATATATTTCGCATTATTTTCGAATGAACATTTGTCGACTTTTCTTTGTAAACAGGTAAATCAGGAGAAATGGGGTAAAGTGGTTGATGCTCGATGTCGAAATCTTACAGCGTCATGGGTGAGAGAAAAATCAAAACTTTATCAACCTGGTGAAGTGCCATTGTGTAATTTCTACGAGGTAAGTCGATCTGTATTTTTACGAGGTAAGTCAATTTGTTAATCTAATTTTATTTATTCATGGATATTAACATTTTCTTTTATAGCAAATGGAAAATGATAATGAAAAACATAAATTATTAATCCCAGATGGTGTGTATACACTTGAGGAGCTACGAGAATATGGCAAAGAACACGAATATTGTCCTTATTATTTGGCAAGAAGAACGGTATTTCGAAATTTCTTATGTTATTAAGCAATTGATTTTATATTGAGTTTTAAATTTATTTTTAATTGAATTTAGATTCCTTTTGCAAATGCAGTAATATATAGTTACCATTATCTACTAGATCCGAAAGTTGCCGAGTTAGTCTCTAAAGAGCTATCTAAGGATTGTATTGTTGTATTTGATGAAGCGCACAATATAGGTCAAGATTTAATTTAACATATTCATTTTATCCTATGTATTTTTACCCATTGAATATTTACAAGCCCTGAATTTATTTCCAGATAATGTTTGTATTGAATCTCTTAGTATTGATATTACCAAGTCAAATTTGGATGCAAGCGCGAAAAGTATAGCAAAACTTAGGGACACGATTGAAGAGTATGCATTTATTTGTTTGATAATGACCAGCTCATATAGTTTGATCCATATATCTATCTGTCTTTCGTTTAATATACAATTTTGTTTTAGTATCAAAAAAAGAGATAGTCAGAGATTACTTGATGAATATAATAAACTTGTTGAAGGTCTGATATTAAAATTTAAATGATGCCATAATGATTGGATTGTGTTCACTTAAGTTCCTCTAACTGATTTAGGATTAATAATGGCTGGTCAAGAACAGGATGAAGATGTGTACCTGTCAAATCCTAGTGAGTTATATAAATCATGTGCCGTAATTTCTGACAAACATTACTCCTTTTTAAAATATCCACTACCGTCAAATCCGTCAATTTGAGTCAATATGAATAATAAAACCAGAGGATACCCATCAATTTTTAAGCTCCGAGTACTATTTGTCGAGAATTATGATAATTGTGGATGATGTATTAAAGTTAGTGCTAACATCTGAATTGTGAACCAGTTTTACCTGAAGATTTGTCTCACGAGGCTGTCCCTGGCAATATTCGACGAGCTGAACATTTCGTAGCTTTCTTGCGTCGTTTTATTGAATATCTTAAAGTGAGCAATTTCTCTTTTCAATTAACAGATTGACTATTAAAATTGCATTTTATTTACATGTATTTTTTATGCGTTACGAAGACTAGAATGCGAGCTCAACAGGTGGTTGCTGAGACGCCAATTTCATTCCTCCAAAATTGCAGAGAAGTAACCTTGATTGAACGTCAGCCTTTAAGGTTTGATAATTATGGTATTAAGAGAGTATATCAGTTAAATGTTCCGTTATTTAGTTTATTAATTAAATTTTACAGGTTTTGTAGTCAAAGGCTAACTTCATTAGTTCGAACATTAGAGTTATCAGATCTTAATGATTATTATGCGCTACATAAAGTAGCAGCTTTTGCAACCCTCGTGGCAACTTACGAGACAGGTATAAATTTAGATTAGTTATTTGGTAATTAACTATTCGAATTGAACTTTTCATTTACGTTAATTTACGTTCCGTAGGCTTCATGTTAATTTTAGAACCTTTTGAAAATGATACCATTCCAAATCCAATTTTTCATCATGCGTTAGTTTCCTTTTTAACCTTTTTTGAATTACATGTGTCTTTTATTAACAGTTTAATAATATTATTATCACTATCATTGAATTATAAATAGGTGCCTCGATGCATCAATAGCTATTAAGCCTATATTCAAGAGATTCAAAACCGTCGTTATAACGTCTGGAACATTATCGCCACTTGACATGTATCCAAAGATATTAAATTTTCAGGCAGCTGTGCAAGAAAGTTATTCAATGACTTTAACAAGAAATTGTTTCCTGCCATTGGTTTGTGACATGTATGTGATATATATGTGTTGCAATTAAAATGCTTATTGAATTCTTTCTTTGCTATTTTTGATTACTATAGGCAATAACTAGAGGTAGCGATCAAGTCGCTATTAGTTCTAAATTTGAAGTTCGTAATGATCCAGCCGTAGTACGAAATTTCGGGCAAATTCTCGTTGAATTTTCCAAAATAGTTCCTGACGGAATTGTTGCATTCTTCCCGAGCTATTTATATATGGAATCAATAGTAGCTATGTGGAACGATATGGTAATTTTTCTTATAATATAATTGAAAGTTTTTATTCATATGAGTAATATCGTTTTGTTATTCAGGGCATATTAAATCAAGCATGGAAACATAAGTTAATATTTGTTGAAACACCAGATGCTGCAGAAACGAGTTTGGCTTTAGAGAATTATAGAAAGGTTTACAAAAAGAATTTAGATAATATTCATTATTATTAGTAATAAAATATTTACCTATAGTTTCATAATTATTCTTTTTTCATTATTAGGCATGCGACAATGGACGCGGTGCCATCTTACTATCAGTTGCTCGCGGAAAGGTTTCGGAAGGTATTGATTTTGATCATAATTATGGACGTGCTGTAATTATGTTTGGTGTACCATATCAATATACAGAGAGTCGAATTCTGAAAGTAAGTGATAAGCTTTCGTTAGTTTAGGCACTATCATTTTAATTAATAATCACAAATTAGGCACGCCTTGAGTTTTTGAGGGAAAATTACAGAATACGGGAAAGTGATTTTTTAACATTTGACGCAATGCGTCATGCAGCTCAATGCGTTGGGAGAGTTTTAAGAGGAAAAACTGATTATGGGCTAATGATATTTGCCGATAAGGTGATTTTACAAACTTTATTATCATGATTTAACTAGAGCAAACTATAACAATAATTTTTTTAATAAGAGATTCGCAAGGGCAGACAAACGTAATAAATTACCTAGGTGGTTAAACCAATTTATCACAGATAACTGTACAAACTTATCAACGGATATGGCATTAGTAACAGCAAAAAAATTCTTGAGAACGATGGCTCAGCCGTTTGAACGTGATCAATTGGGTGTATGGTCTGTCGAAGATGTTAATAGACAAGAACCTAACAAATAGGGTTACGCCCCAACCTTTTTTTTTTTAATGATGACATTAATTACGTTGTTTGAGTTGAGGAATTGGATTTTCTACTTCGTTGGGGATAATAATCAAACCTCAAATGCATGTCTCACTTTAATCAATATTATCAAACTCAAAAACTGGTCAAATTACTATATGTTGTAATTTATTGAAAATTCAAATTAAGAACTCGTGCGATTTAGCGACAAAGCAGGATTCAAAGAAATTATGTAAGGTCTAATAGTTATATCGGAATGTATACAATAAGTGAAAAAAAAACTATTATAAAAGTTTTTCACAATAGATAATATCTTTTTAATACACAAATTAGTATAAAAGTGTATTATACAGCCGTTTGATTCGGCTAGCATTAAAATAACGTTGGCAACAATTTGGCCCGGAATTATGAAATAATTTTTAATGGGTAAATGATTTCACTTTTTACACAAGGATATTCAAAACGGATATAATTTAATAATTATTTGATTAAACTATAACAGTTATAGAACATGTTTCTAATGGTTGCTGTTACTTATAAGTCAAATAAGTGAATATACATACTAAATTTTAAATGTAATTTTTTATCAAAAAATTATTTAAAAAAAAATATATATATATGTAATTTTTTTTTGAAATTTTAATTATATATTTTTTATTATTTTATAATTTTTTGCTAGAAGTTTAAAAAAAATTTTTTACTAAAGTTGAAAATTTTTTATTGTTTTTTGTCAAAAATTTAACTTAATTAAAACAATTATATAATTAAAATAATCTTTGAACAATCAATTTTATAAACAAGTAACTTTTCTTAATGATTATTTAAAAGTAGGAGGCAGTACTTTAAAATTATATATAAACCTAATGGTAAATTTTTTTTATATTTAATTTTATAAAAAATTATATTAAGTAAACTAATTTTAATAATTAAGTAAAAGTTGTAGAGTATGTTTTTCTAATTCTAATGATAGTAACATTATTAAAATTGGTTAAAAACTCATTGAGATATGAAATTTTAAAGTCTAGGTTATAAAATTATATAATAAAATTAACTTATAGGTTTATATAAATTAATTAATCAAATTCTGTGTTTTTGTACTACTTAAATAAATTTTAACTCACCTAAGTAAATTTTATTATATATACAAATATATTTTTTTAAAATAATACAATATTTCAAAATTTTTACTATAATAAATAATATATAGTTATTTGGAAGATGGTATAATTATATAATAATCTGTATAATCATAATATTATTGTCATACTGACAAATAACAAAAAGTATCTGAGTCAGAATTTGATTGGTTGATGGTTGGGCCCTGCAGAAACCCAGACATCAACTGATCAAATTCTGGTTCAAATATGATAATTATTGGTGTGTAGCATCCAATAATAATGTTATCAGCATCTGACAATAATTGAATAACTTAAGACTTCATAATAAGCTCTAATTAAAATAAGTCAAAAAATATTAAATTTAAATAATAAATATGTAAAAGTAAGTAAATAAATATAGTTAATTTGCAAAGTCTAAATTTTTATATAAATATCTATTGTAATTTTGAATAAATTAGATTATTTTGCTCTTTTTACTTTTACTTTCATTTCACTTTTATATTTATTTTACTTCCATCTTTATTTTACTTATTCAATACTAAAAAAAATATTAAATAAAAAAGTTAAATATCATAAATCTACAGATAAAGAAATTAATAAAATTATTAAAGACATGATATCTAAAAATACTTACAAGGTTACAACCAAGTAAATCAAAATTCTTGAAAATTGGAAGTCAGAAATAGGATATGAATATAGAATTAAAACAATTAATAATCAGCAGTAATTAGAACATAAAATAACTAAATTTATTCTGAGAATCAAACAAATTCTTAATTAATCAGAATATTCACTATTTTTCCTTATAAATTGTATATAGTTGCTAAGTGTTTATATATTTAAGCATCCTGAAACAGTTAATAAATTTAATATTAATAATTAAAAAAAATTTTCATAATTATAAAAAGCATTAAATGGCAAGATGAAGCAATTAAAAAAAGATAAAATTGTATTAAAACATTATGATCATTTAATTGATAATGAATTGAAACAAATATTTCAACATTCTGTGCTTTCTATTAATAATTTTAAAAGATTACTTTATCAAATCTTTATATGAAGCTGTTTTCTTTTTTAACCATGAGGTGAAGAGCATTATAAAATAATCATAACTCAAATTACATTTACATTTAATAGGAAAATGCAATTTATTAAAAATTATTAAAAAAATGATCAAGAAGGTATAGATGGTTACTTTGATACTCTTGTAATTTCTATTTCATCTAATCCTAAAACTATTATGGTCTTGTTTATAATTTTAAGTATTATTTTGCTAAAAGACCAACAAATTCTAATTGTTCATCTTTTTATTTACAAATTAATAAGAATGCAAAAAGTAAGATTTTTACTAATTATAACAGAATTAATATTAATATTACTTTTTTTTTTTGGTATTAAGGTGAGGCCTTGCTCGTATCTTTATTGGTAGTTTAAAAATTAGTAGCTACGTGGAGCTGCTATGTACAAA